GAGTGTACATTAGCAGGAATGCTGGATCAAGAAGCAAAGGCGGGAATCAAGCCCAGGTACTCCAAAATAGGATGTGGTGTTAACTTCCCCTCCAAGAACTCTTGATATCTCATTGCCTTTTTGTCTTGCCATACAGAAGGCAAAAAGATGGCAGACTTGGAGTCAGAGTGCTCCCAGCTATGTCTAAGTCCATGGCTCACATTTCCTTATTTTCATTATCTTCAGTATGGGTTTCCTGACCTTGCCTTATTGCTTATCATGCTCAGATACTATGAGGACTAAAATGAACTAAGCCATTCATACTGTATACTACATTCTGCATACTATATACATCCTAAATTCTACATCCTAAGTTCTTGCATACTACATTAGGTTATACAGATAAAACCTAGTCATTGTGATTTTTATCAGGACTTAAATATTCAGCATCTTGAATTGTCCTGTCTGTTGTATTGGACAATTTTTTGTAAGCATAACAAAATGCCTTCAACAGGCTACTTACAAAGTAATGAGAGGTTTACCTAGCTCACAGTTTCAGAGGTTCAAAGTCCACAAGGCAAGGCATAGCTTGGCTCTGATGCAGGCTCTAAGGGCCATGGTGGATGGCAGAGAGCATGTAGACTAAGAATCATATGGGAAGCCAGGAAGTAGAGAGTGTGAGTAGGTGCAACTCAGGCAGAGGGGCAGGTCTCATCCACTGGTTCATTCCCCTAAATGCCAGAAGTGGCTAGGAGCCCCAAACTCCATCTGGGTCTCACAAGTGGGTAGCAGAGACATAAGGACTATCACCTACTGCCTCCCAGGATGCACACCAGCAGAGGTGGGAAGCAGAGGCAGAACTGGAACCCAGGCACTCTGATATGAGACAAGTGTCCCAAGCAGTGTCCCAATCACAGGCCAAGCACCCACAACAGCTCAGGCTTTTAGAACAACCCTCTCATGGGAACCACTCTTGTGGACTGACTTTGCGATGAGCTAAGGATCTCACTAAACCACACCTCCTAATAGTTCTACCACCTCCCAACAGCCCCACCCTGGCGACCAAGCTTGTAACAAACCCAAAGCACAGCATTTGTGCTTATTAATCTTGAATCTCCAGATTCACTGTAAGTTCAAGTCTGAAGACCACATCTTAGATTCTGCCTCCCCTCAGTGCATACAGAACCCACTCCATAAATCCTTGTATGCTAGTTACTGACTCAGAGTGCAAAGTGTACTGTGATTTTCCTGGGTTTCTCATATTGATAAACACATTTTCTGGAAATAACCATAATGTTTGCATAGCCTATGATCTTTATGGTCTGTCTTCCTTTTTTCAAAGCAGCTGGGCAGGATTCCACTGAAAAGCTGACTATTTTGGCAAAGTCAAAGTGAACATTTTTCTAATGCGGCCTTCTTTTAAGGCTGAGACACAGGACCTGAAAATGACTTGAAAACTGCAAGCCACCTCTACCTGTTATCATTCAACAAAGCCAGTCCGAGATCCTACCAAGCACAGGACACGGGGTTGGCGCTACAGGAATAAATTAGGGCAACTGAAGCACACTGTGGCTCTGCAGAGTCCCATGGAGAGAATGCTGGCTTCCTATTTTACTACCCGAGTGACCTTACGCAAGTTACTCAGGGCTGCCTCTTTTTCCTCATTGAAAATTACATAATGGAACCCTCCCCCACAAGAGTGTCATCAGGATGGAATGAGTTCAACATATAAAAACTTTAGCTGTTCATGCCTAGCACATGGTAACAACACAGATAAGAGCTGTAGATTCTTACAGCTCAATAGACCAAGACAGAGAGAAGCAAAGGGACTTATGCAAGTCAAGGAGTCATGGAGTAGAAACCAGGGCTGGAACTCAGATAATTACAGGCTAGTCCCTTCTTCGTGACAGCTCTTTGTGGGTATTTCATACACACGGCATAGGGGTAATACATACAGCCACCTTCCCCTCTGCCTCAACCTACCCAGAATAGCCAACCTTCTCTGCCAGTGAAATCTCGAGGCAGGGGCTTTCAAAGGCAAAGTTAGGGCCCTCCTGGATCAAAGAAAGATCAAATAAACTATATTTTATAGCCTTAAAGAACCCAATCAGAATGTGTGTGACCATATAAGGGAGACAAAGAATCTAAAACTATATATATATAAGGAAATGCTGGGCTCAGTCTTTTGGATGTAAATCCATTGGGCTTTATGCTGGCATGAATAAAGCTGCTTCCTGCTAAAAGCCCCAGTGTCACAGCTCCAGGCCTAGACTGTCCCATTAGCCTCCCATTTAACGCCAGATGCACCTACCTGCTGGCACCACCAGAAACACTATAGAGGGGAACAGAAGCTTCACTTTCTTATGGGATTGTTGTGAAGACTAAATGAGATGATGCCTGGAAATGTGTCTGCCAGAGTATATGGCATAGAGCACATAGCCAAGAAGTGTGATATACAAAAAAAAAAAAAAAAAAGGAGGCAGAGAAGCAGGGGAGGAAAACCCTGTGGTGCCTGCTCTCTCAAAGCTGACACACACTGCAACCCCAAATGCCAGGCAAAGGGCATATTGAGAGCTGCAGTAGAACAGAGAATTGCAGCGTCTGTGAAAGATTACAGTGAAGGACAACATTCAATGAGGAGGAGATCTCCACTTGGCTCCTTTTTTAAAAAATAAAAAGAAGGAGAGTTTAACACTGTGGTTTAAGACGCCACTGGGGATGCCCACATTCCATAACAGAATGTCCGGGTTCAAGCCCCAGCTCTGCTCCCAATTCCACTTCTTGCAAATGCACACCAAGGAAGACAGTAACAGGTTAAGTACATGGGACCCAGCTGACCCACACGGGAAACTGGGACTGAGTTCTTAGCTCCTGGCTTCAGCCTGGAGCAGCTCCAGAAATTTCAGGCATTTGGAGAGTTAACCAGCAGAAAGGAAGTCTCTCCCGCTCTCTTTCAATAAAGAAAAATAAACTTCTTAAAAATAAAGTATTTCACCAGTGCTTTGCTAGCAAACCCGAGCTTTCACAGAATTGGGATATATATATATATATACACACACACATATGTATATGTATATATGTATATGTGTGTGTGTATATATATATATATATTTCTAAACAGAGCAAAATTGCTTATGACCTCTCTAGAATTTCCTCTCCTACTCTTGAGCAGCGAAAGCTCTGTTTGGCCATATTCATCAGTGGCTTTAACCAGGCAGTGATGGCTCAGACACACAATTCAATTAAATCAGATCCCACAGGTCCCCCGAAAATATTCACAACGCACTTCGGGTTCAGAGTTCTCCAATGCTTCTGCACCACCTTCCTTTCTCTATCCCAATATTCACAATTCACAATTCTTAGTTCTCGAATGACAAAACTTAATAGCAGAGCAGGAAAGGGAAGGGATCTGGTGAAAATGGAGGAACAGGGCCAGAGGCAGAGCAAAACCATACTTTCCTCCGTGTCCATCCCTAGAGCGCAGCCCTGGGCCTGGCCCACAGTGGGCTGGTGGAACTAAATGAATTGGTGGCCCGGTTATGCCAAGTTCAACCACAGAATCAACGCCATGTCTCTCAGGCCCAGTTATGTAGGCAGGACAAAGCCCCAGGGCATATGCCTTTAGCAAATGGGCAGGTGTTCAGGAAAATGCTCGCTTCCTGTTTACCTGGACAGGTATTTGCAAGCAGTCTAAGAAGGGGGGCAAAGAGGAGTAACTTAGTTCTAAGCCCCTTGGCTATGCAAATCGCCTAAGCAAATACAGGAAAAGGGAGGGGAAAGGTTTCTGGTCTGCCTTTCCTCACCAGCCCCACTCCAGAGCGCACCGGCCAGCCGCCAACCTCCTCTCCAAGAGGGCCACAGGCGCGCCCCCCTCCGCGCGCCCCAGCACCAGCCGGGAGCCCCTCGGTCACTCTGGCTGGGGGAGGTGGGTCTTGTCTGCCCTCTGCCCGCCCGAGTGGAACTCTCGGCCTCCCCAGCCGAGACCCGGCCAACCCAGAGCGCAGCGAGCAGGAACTGGAAAAGGGAGGAGAGCGGGCGAGCCCTGCAATGCGAAAGCGCCCGGCCTGGCTCGCCGCGGCCCCTGCCGGCAGGTCCGGATCACTCGCCAGTCCAGGCGCCTCGGGAAGTCAGGACGCGGGGAAGAGGAGTGCCTGACCTTGGGGGCAGCCTCCCGCACCACTACCACAGATCCAAACGCGGAGAGTCTGCGGGCCACTGCACACCAGCCCTGCGAGCCCCGAGCCGCCCCCGGCCGGAACTCGCCGGCGGTCCCCGGGCGCCGCGCTGCTCTCTTGCCAGGGCCCTGGGCGCGCTCTGCCCTGCAACTGTCGCGGGGCAAGAGGGACCGGCGGCAAGGCAGGGAAGAAGGCGGAGCAGGCGGCCGGGGAAACACTTACATTTGCCAGGAAAGCGCCTCCTCTCGAGGAAGGGAACGGCTTCCTGGTTACGGGGACGCCCCTACGCGGGCTGCCGCCCGTCTCTGGCGCCGGGATTCTCCCGCCTCCAGTCCTCCTCCACCTCGCCCCACCCCACGCTCAGAAAGCGGGTCTTGGATCCATGCCCCGCGGCTTTCACCGGACCCCGCACTTGGATTCTGCTGCCCGCAGCTAGCGCAACAGGCAGAGTCTTTGGGCGCCAGCGACGGCAGGCTCCTGGGACCAGAGGGTGGGTGCGCAGAGGGGCCAGGCGCCTTGCAGGATGCAAAGTCCCTTACGGGCGTGGACCCGCCGTGGACCCCGACCCGGGCTCTGGAAGGCTGGAGCAGTGAAGGGGCGATGGGGTGGCGCAACAAAGTTGCGGGGTCGCCTGGAGAAGTCTCTGGAGGGCGCGCGGAGCCGGGGACGCCAGTAGGTACCTGCGGGAGTGCGGGTGCAGCTGACTCGCTGGACGTCGCTACGCCGCCAGCCTGCGCTGCAGTTACCAGGCCTGGCGGCGCGGTCCCGCGCCCGCCGCCACAGCGGCGAGGACAGCGGGGCGGCCCGCGTGGGTCCGTGGGTCCGTGAGCCCGCAGGGCTGGAGCGCGGCGCCTGCGAGTGGCGGGCGGGGCCGGGCGGAGCCGCCGCTCAGTCACCGCCCCACAGGTCCGAGCTCCGCCCGCAGCTCGTGCGCCCCGAGCCGAGGGCGCGGCGCTCCTGCGCAGGCGGGTGTAAACCGCGGGGGCTCGGGGCGCCCGAGGGGTCGAAGGGTGGAGGGACCCAGACGCCGCGACGCCGGGCGCGCGCTCCCGCTGAGGCCCGAGTGCAAAGTCACCTAGAATGAGCACCCGGCCCCGTCCAGGTGGGAGCAGGGGCGCGCCTTCAAGCCTCCCACCTGCGCGTTCCACCGCAGCCCGGGCAGCTGGGGGAACCGCCTCTCAAAAGTCTAGGCCCAGAAGACTCTTGGCAAATTTGCCTGGTTTTCTTGGGAAGTCGCGGAGGCCCAACTTGTGTCAAAACAAAGTGCGAAGGAGGAAAGCGCCCCAGTGCCTGCTGGCGTTTGCCACCCGCCCCGCTGCCTGGAAACTCACGCGCCACGCGGAACGCGGAGGTTCGTTCCATTCCTCGACTCACCGAGTCAGAAGTGGCTGGACACACGCACCAAGCATATGCACCTCACAGGTACAAGGGGTAAGTCGGCCCCCTTCCGAAGTCCAACAGAAGAGGGAGTCAGAGGGAGAGGGCTTTGGCGAGGTTCACCGATAACCCAGAGGGCAGCGGGTGGTCTAGAGGCGTCGCGGACCTCACTGCACTGAGCCAGAAGGCTCCAGTCAACAGCCCGAGGAGAAATGGGACGCTCGGGGGCCACCCCCGCACTCCCCCTCCCGCCCCCAAACTGCAGATTTTTTAAATTGTGCAGACGTGCAATAATTCCTCGGAGCCAGCTGCTCAGAGCTGTAGGCGTCCAGTGTTCCCTGGGTTCCCGCCCCGCAGCTCGGGCTCTGCAGCCGTCCCCCGCCCCGACCCTGCCCCTGCTGACCACCCGCCTCAGGCAGCGCCTAGCAAGACCTCGCTAACGGAGTTCCATGCCCTGAGCATGGTGCATAGCAGAGGATGGAGGCCGGGGAATTTAAGGAAAAGGTGATCTCACTGACGTACCCTATGGTGACTGTGGGTTTCCTAACTGTTCTTTGTGCAATCCGAACGCACAGTAAGAGTGACGGAAAAGGGAGCAATGCTTTAGGATCTGGTAGGCTTCAAAGAGGAGGAGACGCCTGCATCCTAAAAGGAGACATGAGGGACAGGATAGAGGAGCAGTGGGCAGGAAAGGCAGAGGAGACATCAACAAGACCATCTCCCTGGACCACCAGACTCCAGCATTTTCATTTGATTCTGGAGCGGCAAGGTGGGATGCAGGTGCCTGTGGAGTATGCATTGGGGGCCCTGTGTCCCTAATCCATAGCTCTTCCATACCCCAAACCTGCCCCCTCTCCAATGAAAGAGGCTCCAAACCATTTGTCTACCCAGCTATTTGCAAGCAGCTCAAGAAGGTAATTTTTGTATACAATGCATCATCTTTAACCTAAGATCTAAGATTATTCTAAAAATGTTTACATGTTACCAGCGCCTTAAAAGAATGCTTGCAGATCTCTCCCTGCACTGAGCTTCTTAATCATGTGAAATTCACTAAGTTTATCCAAAAAGCCCAGCACTGTTTACTTGAGGAGGAAATATGTTCAGATCTCTCAGCACTGCAGAAGGCATCTGCAGTGCACAGGAGCTGGCAGTGAGGTCCTTGCCATGGGGTCCGGGAGGCACCTGTGAACACATCGGGGTCAGAAGGGGCATCCTCGAGGGCTGGAGACGGGCTGGGCCTCTGCCAAGGGCATGGTGGAGCAGGGGGTATAGATTTGAGAGTCAGACAGGCTGGGGTTCTCATCCTGCTGAATTGGTGGGGAGCCTCTTAGTCTCTGGGTTCTGCTTTTGTCATCTGAATGGAAAATGCCTCCCTCACAGGGCGATCCTGTGAAGCAAATAGGTTAATATAACATAGATTATTAAATATAAACAACAGGAAAGCATTATAGGGAATGCAAAACATGGTGTTCCTTCATAGTTCACCCCTTAACATTAACCAAGGTTGAGCCCAGCAAACTGCTGAATTTACATTCTCTCTCTCCCTCCCTCCACACACACACACACACACACACACACACGTCCTCTGTCTGTACAGCCCCTGCCCCTGATCTCAGCCCCCTCACTATGGGGACTGACCTATTGCGCCACCCTCTTTCCCCCACAGGCACACCTCCTATGCCACTGTGGTATCTCCATGCCACACAATACCATATCCCATGCACTTACTGTAAGGGGCACACCAGCAGCTGACAATGGCTCTCACCCCTCTGTGGTTTCAAAGAGGATCTCAGAGTCCATGAGATACCTCAAAGCCAATATGGGATGCCATCAGTCCATCTCCCAGCCCTCAAGTCCCCCTTGCTCTGGACACTGTACTCCTTCTGAGGTTTTCCTCTCTTACCCACCCACCACACACCCATGCATTCCCCCTCTCCCCCTGCCCTCAAATGTGTCTTTGACCTTTCATTCTTACTAAAGTCCAGCCCAGCTGGATGCCACCTTGAAGGTAAGGGAAGCACTAATTTGCTTCTTAAGTTGGAACCGGTCTGCAGTGAGATGCTCTCAGCTCTGGCAGGAAGGTTGGGAGTGAATGGGTAACAGTGATTGACATTTACTTGGTTGGTGTCTTATTTGTCACTCTCTACCCAGCTGCCTGAAAGTCCCTCCAGCCAGTGTGAACATGTGAAACACCGGCAGTTCCCCAGACCCACCGGGCCTTGCTAGACCCTGACACATGGCTGTGCTTCCTCTGCTTCAAATACCGCTGCCAACCACAGAGCCCTTCTTTGCTCAGCCGACTCACTCTCCCTTGGGTGGCGGCTCATTTGACAGTCACAGCTGTCTGAGAAGCCCACAGTCACAGCTGTCTGAGAAGCCCTCTGTCCCATCATGGGTTGTCTGTCTCCTCTGTCTACCATTGCTTCCTCAGCACCTTGCTTCCCTCTTTTGTGAAACTACCAGATTGGGCTTTTTTTTTTTTTGACAGGCAGAGTCTTCCACTGAACCATGAGCTCCTTGAAGACTGAATTTCTAAGACCTTTTGTGAAGGGAATTGCTAATGGCTCTTATGAGGGTTGGGTGCTTAGCCAAGCAGTTAAGACATTAGCTAAGACTTCCAGTCCCATGGTGGAGTGGCCGGGTTCAAGTCAGAGCTCTGCTCTCAACTCCAGCTTTTTGTTAATGCAGAACCTGGGAGGCCACCTACATGAAAGACCAAGGCTGAACTTACAGCTTCAGTCCCCAAGGACTATTGTGGGCATTTGGAGAATGAACTAGTGAGTAGACTCACTCTCTCTCTCTCTCTCTCTCTCTCTCTCTCCCTCTCTCTCTCCCTTTCCCCTGCCATACGTAATTTTAAAAATTTAAAGAAAGAAAGACCCTGTCATAGGGCTGCTCAATTTCTTCTGCTCCCGCTAGGAATTTTCACCCTTTATTTCTATGCCACATTTTGCCAGTTAAAAAGAAAATGTACAAACCATCATGTCTGCCTCTGCTTGCATGCCTAGAAGCTCAAGATTGAATTTATATTAAATTTAGGGAAATTATTACACATTTACTTTAACTGCCCCATAGTATTACTTTTATACTGAACAGACCCTGAATATTTATGATCTTAAAGTCCAATGGCTGGGGCCTGCACTGTGGTATAGTAGGCTAAGCCTCCGCTTGTGGTGCCTATATCCCATATGAACGTCAGTTCATGTCCCGGTTGCTCCTCTTCCAGTCTAGCTCTCTGCTATGGCCTGGGAAGGCAGTAGAAGATGGCTCAATTGCTTGGACCCCCACACCGACATGGGAGACCCCGAGGAAGTTCCTGACTCCTGGCTTCAGGTAGGCCCAGCTCTGTTCTGGCTGTTTGGGGAGTGAACGGCAAATGGAAGACCTTTCTCTCTGTCTCTCCCTCTCTCTGTCTGTAACTCTACCTCTCAAATAAATAAATGTTAAAAAAAAAAAAAAAGTCCAGTGGCTTGAATTCCAATATGCCTCCATCCCTAACAGCTCAGTGAAGTTTCCTTTTAGGCTCTCCAGGCATCCACTCTATTATCTTTAAGGAACTCTCCAGCTCTAAAAGGTTTATGTTTCTGTAGATAAAAGGAGACTGCTTTTAAAAAGAGTGTTGTGACTAAATATGGGTTATGTCTCCAGGCCTGGGGTACCTGGACTCACTTTCTGAGGATCCTAGCGTACGGCCCAAGGTGGGTCCATAGAACAACTGTCCCTGGTCGACAGGCTTTGGAAAAGTGCACTCTGGTGGATCCTCAGCATACTTTAGCCTGGTAGTGATCTGTCTGAGAAGTCAGGCCATGAAAATACCCCTGGGGATGGCCTTCTAGATGGCTCAGAATCCAGCCACAATTTGACTTTCACCATGTGTCATGCTTCTCACACCTTTTCCTCTTCCTTCTTCAACCCTGCCCCTCCCCACCACACTTTCCTTACCTTCCAGCCGATAGAACTGACCCATGTTTCCAACATGCTCACTGTCAGAGCCTTTGCCCTGCCGGGGACCTGTGTCCATCATGCTTCCTCCTCCACCTGGAAGACAGCTAGTTGATGCCCAACATCATCCATTCGGTGATACTTTCTGTGACTCACAAACTAAATTTAGTTGCTTCCTCTCCTACATCCATTCTGCTTTGCACGATGTTCCAATACATTTGTACCCCTATCAGGTACTGTCACTCATGGCCAGTTTGGATAGTCTCCTGCATTAAATTGTGACCTCCTTAATGGACAGGAACTGTGTGATGTTACTCATTTCAGTGTCTTCATGGCCTATTACAGATGCTCACCAAATGTTTTAAGACAGGAGCTGACATAGTGGCATAATGTGTAGAGTCAAAGCCTATGACTCCAGCATCCAGTATGGATGCCATTCATAACTTGGCTGCTCCACTTCCAATGCAGCTCTGTGCTAATGGCCTGGGAAAGCAGAAGAGGATGGCCCAAGTGCTTGGGCCCCTGCACCAAGTGGGAGACCCAAATGCAGCTCCTGACTTCAGCTGGGCCGTTTCAGAATTTGCGGCCATTTGAGGAATGAACCAGCAGATGGAAAATAGCTCGCTCTCTCTCTCCCTCTCTCTCTCTCTCTCTCTCCCCCTCCCTCCCTCTCTCCCTCTCTCCCTCTCCCCCCCCCCACCCCTCTGTAACACTTTCAAATAAGTAAATAAATCTTTAAGAGAATGAAAAAGTAGATTCTGGGATGAATGGATAGACAGATGAATGAAGTTCTTGAGACTGTGTGAAAGAGTGCAGATACGTAGATCAAAAGGCACTAAAGACCATATATATCATCCTCATGTATTTTTTTCCAGGGAAGTTCTGCACTCCTTTAGTAAGCCTTCATTCATTGGGTGGAACTTAGTGTCTAGCCTTCATTTCCAACTAGAAAAGTGAAGAGTATCCTAATGACAGACTGCCAGGTACACTCCTATGGCCTTTTCTGCTTTCTCAGCAATATTATCTCCAGTTGTTACCTGGGTACTAGGGCAACCAACTGTTCTTAGTATATCTGGGGCTGCTCCAGTTTTACAACTAAAGTTTGGCATCCCAGGAACCCCTTACTCCAGGGCAAAGCAGGATAGTGGACCACTCTCCTCGCTATACTACTGTCTAGGATAAAACCTACACATTCTACTTTCCCATGCAGGAAGGCGGGCATACGACTGAGTTCTCTCCAGTGGGAGGTCAGTGGGAGAGGCACGTTCAGCTTCCTAGTGCTGCAGGTACAAGGTCTGGAAGCTTCATCTCGCAGTGACCCTCTTGCTGGGCAGAGTCCCAAAGCCATGCAGAACACCAATGCCAAGAGACAGGAAGTAGGCGTGTCTGTCCATATCTGTCTGGTCTCTTATAAAGCCACAGGATTCAATCTAATCCAATCTAAATATCTCTTGCGATGGTCCCACCTCTAAATGCCATGATTGGATTAAGTTCCCACCCTCTTAGTGCCATCGATATTAGACTTCTGGGGTTAAAATCCTGACTTCAGGGAGGCAAATATTCAAACTATAACCTCTTTGGATCTTGAAAATTCTCTCCCTTGCTGGAACCCATGGGAAACCCTCCATCAATCCCATCTGCAAGAATTAGCAAACTCTGCCCTGATGATGGTAAAAGGAACAACAAGTCCAGTGTGACCCCAGAGTCAGGGAAGGGAAGGAAACAGGTGTGCAGTGAAGAGAAGGGCTCTCAAAGTGCTCCTGTGGCACCCCTATGCTCATGTCCCTTCACCTGCTCCCAGAAAGCATATATTAAACTGAAAATACCATACACAGGATGAAATTGCCCTGGTCCTTGGAGAGCATGTAAAAGGGTATAGGAGCCATCTTAGCAAGGAACTGGTGGCCTCAGTCCTGCCCTGACCTTGCTCCTCAGCTGCAGCTGTGACAGGGAAGTGAGCCCAGGGCTGGGGTCCAGCACAGGGCCAGCCAGGAGCTCAATGACCAGAATGCTAGTGTCTTAGGATAAAGCAAGTTTTTAGACTCCATTTCCCTGCATGTTTTTCTGTTCACGTATTTTGTCTTTCTTCATTCTCTAGTAAAATCTCTTTTTAAAAAAATCACAATTTCCTATGAGAGTCATGAGAAAGAAATTCTACCAAGTCAAGATACTGTGGTGAGAAGGAATCAAAGATCTCTCTGGAGGAGCAGTAAAGCAGCAAGGCCCTGCTCTCTCCAGCCAGTAACTGACAGGTCCTCCCACCTCAAATGCACCCCACTCATCCTGCATAGATGTGGCTAGGATTACCTCTGAGTATGGGTCAGCTGCACCAACTGATTTCACCTTTCTTTTTCATTTTTATTCTCTTGGATGCAGAGGGTTAATTTAGTCATGCTTCTCTGAATGTTCACATTATTAGCACATAGAGGATCAGGTCTCTCTCTCTCTCTCTCCCTCTCTCTCTCTCTCTCTCTCTTCTTTTATTCCACATTCCACACTTGCATGGCCATCCCACCCTCCATAGGCAGCCATTCTAATGTACTTTGTGGTAGCCTCTTGTTTCCAGGAGTCCTGGTAAAGTGTATGAGGCTGTTCTGAATGCAGACATTTTTAATTCATGTAAATGGTAATTTGTCCTTTCTCTCAATCTTCTCTTGCATTCTGCTCACCATGGTGTAGTGTTTTCAGCTCCAACCTCATTGTTCTGCATGCATCTGGTCTGTTCCTTTTGTTCGCTGCCTGCCTCATCCACATACTGCCATCCATTACTCAAATGCTTCAGATTCCCAGCACTGCAAGCAACACTGGGATGTGTCCTGGCAATGTGTCACCCCTTGAACCCGGGGAGAACTTGAGCAGGGAATACATACCCAGGAGCAAGACTACTGGTTATAAGGTCTGGATGGGGTAGTAAGGAAATAATGAAATGCTTCCAAATTGGTTTTGTAAATAATCATGCCCCTGAGCTCCCTGGGGACCATCACCATTGTCCCAGCACCCTCCGGACAGTTCCATCATCTAGCAGCAAAAGGATTAGTGGCTGGGCCATCCAGAGCTGACAGCCTAACAGTTGTTAGCTGTTTTGAATATCATCCCTTAAAACGCACATACCTAATATCATTGTCTCAGTCCTTATTTCTCCATGAGTAACCCAAACCAAAATTTACTTGAAGTGTTGATCCTGTTTCCTGCCCTGTGTTTAATGAATTCTCACTGATATTTCTACCTTGTTATCAAGGTTGTGTTCTACCCTACCCAGCCTAGAGCTGTGGGAGTCAGCAGGCTGTGGCCACTCTTCTGATGTCAGGGCCAACACCAGAGTCAGCTGTCTCCAAGGGGACTCAACACCACAAGTTTTAGCCAGATTTTGTCCTTCAGCTGTGTGGCTCTGAGCATGTCACCTCTCTCTCTGCCCCTCTGTCTCCTTACATGCAAAATGCTCTCCCACCTACTTGGTGGGAATGGATAAAGATGTGACACAGAGCAACTTGTAGGAAAGAAGTCTTTTGGCATCAAATACAGCATCAAACTAGCTGTGTCATCTTGGTCCTTCCTGTGTCTCACATATAAAATGGGGATAATGATGCTGTACCACGAGCTCTGACATTCCATGTGCTGTGGTGATGCCGTTGAGCCTCACCAGCCCCAGCTGACATCTATCTTCAGCTCCCGGAGCTCAGCCAGGAGTTCCCCTGTTCTCCCAGATATAACCCCATCCAGCAGGACATGCTCCCCACCTGGCCATTTCCCCATCAGCAGGATCAGCCCCACCCTACTCAATCCTCCCATGGGTTCCTGCACGCTGCCAGTCCACAAAACTACTCAAAGATCCAATCCTGTCCTCCCTGGCCAGTCAGGAGCACCCCACCCACTTGTCACTGTAAAACCTGCCCCCAAGTGCCACGTCATGTGGCCCTGCATAGCATGTAGCATCTAGTTCCCCAGGGCTGTGAGCACTTGTGCACATAACTGACAAACTGCCGCCAGTACCATCTGCCCAGGGCCGAATGTGTTGTATTCAGACACCTCACACTATTTAGTGCAGAGGGGTCCTGCTTTACTAGCTGAGTAAGGAGAAAGCACTCAGAACACTTACCTATCTCACAGAGCCGTAAAATTAGAATGAACGATACACAGAAAGCACCTAGCACTGTGCCCAGGTCTGGTAGAAAGAAAAGCAAATAAGAACTTATCCATAGGTGGATATCGTGACCACCAGAGGATGAGGCACCCTGGAACCTGGGTGGGGATCACCTCACAGCTTCCTTCTCTGCTTTTGAAAAGACTTACCTCTTACAGACTGACTCTGAGCTTTCCTTGACAAAGATGAAGAAAACACATAGAAAAATGGTCTCTCCTTTTCTTAGCACAATGAGCTACATCATTCATAA